AAAAGATAGGTTTTCTGCCTAATTTTCCAACCTGAACCACTCATTAAATCACAATATTCTTGGGACCAAAATAGGTTTCTTATGTTTTTCAACGGAATAGTTACAAATTTATCAAGCTTTTATATGTAACGTGTTTATAGTTTTTTTAACCACCACAAAGAATATACATATATGTATGTGTAGGAACTGAAGAATGTGTAGCATTGATAATACTGATGAGTAAAATGCAACTATACATACAATATGCAATTTACCACTATAAGAAGTCTAGGCTGTTTTTTGTTTCGACTTTCTTTTGTTCAGGGTTATTTGTGTGGGAGGAATTCCCCGAAACCGGTATATCTTAAGCGGTGAATCGAATGATTGATAGATTGGGCTTTACAATTAGCATCATATAGCTGCTCCCCACAAATAGCCCACATAAATTATATGGGTTTTTTTCATAGATTTTGTTTACAGTTACAATGAAGAAATTTATCCAAGATTCTGTTCTAACATCTTTTTATGAAATGCTGAAAATATACATAAGGGTGATTCAGTTCGTCGAAAAACTACAGGCTTAATGGTTAATATTTACACACGAAATAGGATCGCTTTCAAAATATGGTATCTACTAGGTTTTTAGAGAATTTATGGGTCATTTTCACACGCAATAGGGCTACTTTCAAAACACAAGCTTTTCTAGGTTTTTATAGCTTCACTGGGAGGCTTGGTATAATGGGTTGATCTAATGATTAAATAATAAGAATGTTCAGAAGCAATTGGAAAAAGAAGCAAAAGAATGAAACAAAAACATTCGAAAATAGTGTAGAGTTGGTAAGCCTTAAAATAAGTTGTCGCAAAAATTGGATTGATCAAATCCAATACTTGTGTCAACAACGCAACTCAAAATTCACGTTACGCTTTTTAATTAGCTGGATTTTTCCAGCTGGACGACACCGTTCCTTGTCATTTTACCGAACGTAAGAAAAGACCGCTACCGAAATGAGCGCTCCTTTTATAAGTTGCAAAAGGGGAGACATTCAATTCAAATCAAATCAAATCAATTTATTCGGCATGGTGCAATGAAATAATGCATGCATATAATACAAACAAGAAATATATAT